ATAATAGCTTCAATTTCGCAGCAGTATCAAGTCTTTTAAGAAACATATTAGGAAACAGTATAAACATACATTTTGCCACATTATATTCTCAGCTTTTCTCGGTGTTAAAAACATTAAATGCCATCATCCAATTTGGCTTCACATTAAAACATTATTCTCACGTACTTGGCTAAATCGACATGGTCTTTTGTTTATTTTTAAATTTAAAATGTCCATGCATGCAGACTTGGTCTCGTCGCTATATGGCTGAGATAATGCCGATATGACGTAAAACTCAACTGAACACTATCAATGTAAAAGAGAGAATCACGGCCGAACACTTCCTGCTTGAGTGTGTTATATTTTCCATCACAAGGAATAAATATTTCGAAAGTCCATCAGATAAGAATCATTTTAATAATATTAACTCTCATTTGTCTCATCTTTTTGAGCTCCCCTTTGAGAAAAATGCACATATGATGACCGCCGTGCTTGAAAACACGCACTTGTCGCATGGCGTTAACAGTTTTCATCATTGACGACGTTTCTAGTGTGATGTCATTCTGACATTACGTCACTATCAGTTTCAAATGACGTCAACAATGGCGTCGGTATGACGTAAACAATACACTTGTGCGTGTAAAAGTGATGTTGTGCTCCATAGCATGCACGTTTTTGTTTGTTTTGATTTTTGTTTGATTTATAACCCGGTTATTTCTTATCGTATCGATAGACACCTTGGTTTGGGTAACTGGCTAGCTATTGTCGAAACGTTCGTAGCCCTACGAACTTCTTAAGCCCATCCTTAACACATTGGCTATGATCAAAGTTAAGAATTGTTAGGGCTAGGAATGTTTCGAGAATATGGTGGTTCACTCGCAGCACTGCTTAATTTGCACAGTTGTCCATTTATCGTAATATCATTTTACCGCATTATTGATCTGTCGCGAAGCATGATATTGGGTCGAGAAAGGAATTTTTGTCACTGAATGAAGCGTTACTAAACTATTGCTATTACAAAGCTGATTCCGCTCCATTAATCGTATACGAATGGAATGCAAATGTCAAATTGGTATTTGGAAAACAAAACACCTTCATAAAACTCGGTCACATCCGCCAACGCTCTCGTATACTACGATACCAACGCAACACAAGCATACACTGACTGACTTTTTAATATAAACAAGTATTTAACAATTTGTAGTACAACAAGTTGTTTTAACCATCATGTTGTAACTTAAACTGGAACCTCTGTAATCTGGATCATGGTAATCTGGGGAATATCGTAACAATGGCAACTGCGAAAATAGTGTTGAGTCTGCCACGACCACAGTTACAGCTTATCACAGCTGCTCTTATTCCGGAAACTGGCTGTTCCGTAATTCTACGGGCTTTAAGCGATTCTCTTGCTAACACATTCAATAGCGATGTTAAAGTCTGTAACACGTCCGTGATTCAACACAGCTGGTTGATAGACTGCTGCACCCTTGTTAGTCTAATGTTACAAATGACCCATGAAGGTCCGGGTTAGAATTGATCTTCAACAACCCATGCGGGTCGTAAGAGGCGACTAACGGGATCGGGTGGTCAGGCTCGCTGCCTTGGTTGACACATGTCATCGGTTCCCAATTGCGCAGATCGATCGATTCCTTGTAACAAACAATTCCTTGTAAATTGTAAAGGAGTCTCAGAGAGAAGGGAGATTCGGAACCTGAGGAGATCTAGACTTGCTTCATTAAGGACTTTATCATTGCAGGGAGGGCTAGGCAACAGGGAAGCTAAGCAGTTAAGGGACTGTAAGACAGACCACACTCTTGTCACCGACTGTTACATATTTCAAAACACAATTCTTAACGCAAGTTTGTGCTGTATTCATAAAAATTCCGTTTAAAACATCCATCTACTTTACACATGTAACATATGTTATATTTGGTATTACACTTTCTTAGTTAAGTACAAATTCTAGTACTTTTTTGAGTTGAGCCCCAACCGGGATTCGAACTCACACCCTCAGAGTCAGGCACCTAATCGCCAGCACACAAAGTCAGCCGCCTAACCCGCTCAGCTACCGCCGTGGAAGCTGAGCGGGTTAGGTGCCTGACTCTGAGGGTGTGAGTTCGAATCCCGGATGTGGCTCAATCCCAAATATAACATATGTTACATTTGACCACTTTCTAAACTGCACTGTGTAATCATACTTTACACATATATCTGAAATAGCCTACTGTTGGCTGCAGAGTTAATAAAAACAAACATTTGCTCACTCTTCATGATTCCGGATCATACAGTCAGGTGACCCCAGTAATTCGAAACCTACTAGTATTCCGGAATCTCGTATTTGTTGATACTTTAATCTGGTGATCTTTAATACTCCGGAAACCTTATTATCTGGAAACTCTTTGTCTTAACACTGCAAATTGTCAACGTGCATTATTCTCAACCCCAAATTAATCTGGAATTCTGCATCATGTAATTCCTGAGACATCTATTATTCCCGAATTCAATTATTCATTCAGCACTAGCCCCGTGTCCCAAATGTTAAAGTTATCCTGGAAGTAGCTGGATTAAACACACGAGGAAGAGGAAATGGAATCTATGACATTAGTATTAAATCATAACAACATGCCATTACAGTAAAGTGCCGGACAAAGAAAAAACAAAAACAAAAAACAAACAAAAAACAAACGAAAAAACTCAAAACATTAGCAAATATAAATCCCATAAAAAAAGAAGCCTACATTGCATTCGCTTGAAAACTAGATTTAGATCCGAAAATTACAGTGTTATGAAGACGTTACAAGCAATAGCCGAAATACAATGAAATACAAGTTATGCTACAACTGTCATATACTCGTACATCATGGAAGAACCGTCTCTTTGCTTCATTTCAGCCACCATCAAATCATCCTCGATAATATCCAGGGTATATCGAAATTATCGAGGATGCCATCAAATATTAGTGCACACTTTCTTTTGTCCGGGAGATCCAGTCCCAGTGATTCGGGTTTGTCCCAGGGCTTGTCGAGGGCTGCTGTCCTTCCCAGGAAGGACGGTACTTAAAGATGAAGCAACAGCAGTTATAGATGTCGTTATGGAAACCCTAAATCGGTAAACGTTTGATGACCATATAAATTTATTTCAGTAGGTGTGCACTTATTCGTAATGTGTCTTCGGGAATACGAAATTAAATAACACCTCATTTCATAAGTAGAAGAACATTACGCGCCGGAACTACTGAAACCCGTGAAGATCCGGCTAAGAATTGGTCTTCAGCAACTCATGGTTGTCGTAAGAGGTGACTAATGGGATCGGGTGGGCAGGTGCGCTGACTTTGTAAATGTCGTCCCAATTGTGTAGATCGATGCTCATGCTGTTGATCACTGGATTGTCTGGTCCAGACTTGGTTCTTTACAGACCGCTGGCATATACCTGGAATATTGCTGAGTGCGGCGTGAAACAACACGCAGAGTAGTTGATTAAAAGAATAATTAGTTCGGAACGACGTCACATAAAAACGTCACCATGGTATGAACAATAGACCTGTATGACGTCACGTTGCCATGGCCCTCTTCGCAAACAATGATCCCAATATTCACATGACGTCACAATGATATGCCGAGACATTTATTATTAAATGCATGTTACGTCCGTGTTTTTGTGTATTTGTTTGTTTGTGACATGAACAATGCGACCAGCAATATTCGAGCTAGTTTACAGTAGAGTCTGGACCAGACAATCTAATGATTGATATTCGGTTGGGATACGATGACCTGCTATCACCCATGTCAGCGAGCCTGACCACCTTAAAAGTCGCCTCATGGGTCAACCTCTTCATTGATGCACGTCTGTACTACGTCAACAATGACATTTGCATTACAACAGTCATGTCTGCATTGTGTCGAGCTCTTGTTTGGGTAAATGGACAAATCGATATCATCAACTCGCATAGTTTTGAGCCATGTGAGACAACTCCAGCCAACCCCACCCCCAAAAAGAAAGACAAAACTAAGAAGAAGAAATAATAATGATAAATAAATAAAACGAAAATAAAAACAAATCAAGATAAAAAACCAAAGAAACAAAAAAACAACAACCAAAACCCAAAGACAATACAAAAAAAAAGAAAAAAACAAAACAAAAAAATAAATACGAAACAAAATATACCAAAACAAACCAAACCATAAAACCCCAGAACGTTTCGACAGTACTTAATCAACACCAGTAAAGCGCACGAATATGATTTTATATCTACATTTCGTAAGTAAAATCGCCGCTTCACGTGCATTTTGATACCATTAAGTTTCCTTAAGGCCTCATCATATCTGCCAGACTGCGGACAAAGAAATAGTAAATGTAACCCGTGAATTATACTTTGACATTCTCCTTCATCGTGCTTGCTTTCAAACTATTAAACGTTCTTACGGAATTTGGGGATTGTATACAAACTTGAAAGTCCTAATGTTCACGTTTATGCTCCGACAGGTTCGATTAAGCAAATGGGTAAAACGCGTGAAGCCAAGTTTTCAGTGTTCCCGCCATAATATTAATGGAATATTGCTAAAAGCGTCGTAAAACCATATTCACCCGCTGTTAGATGAACACTTATTATATAGATTTATTGTGAACAGGCACTCAGAACTTATCATACTTAGGAGTACGGTAGTTCGCGTGAATCAAGTTGTTTAAGTGAATCAATTGATCTCTGCAATATTCATTCATAAACGATACCATCCTGTTATCACCAATACACATATACGGCGACGATTGAACCAGCAATGTTAAATTAACAGCGAAAAAAACCCAACAAACAAACACAAAGATTCGTTATTTTTGTAAAAAAGAGAGCCTTTTAATGGCAACTGCATGTCAGTAAAATCGATATCGACAGCGAGCGCCGGTACGAAGTGCGACTTCAACACACATTTCATAATTAATGGAGAAAACGGAATGTGTTCATTTACTGTTTACGTGTGACGTCACGACTCCGGCGCAGTGATACTGTAATACAATTATTATGATATTGAGCGCGCGACACAGGCAAATATACGCTATATTTGTCTCAAAACAATGCTGATTTTCGATATTTAAGTTGTAGTATTTCGGCGTGAGGTGTTCGAATTCCGGAAAAGGACCTATGTTCTGCTGCGCATGAATGTTTTCGTTCTATATCGCAGTGAAAAGGAAGGCGACAGCCTTTACTGACTAAAATGGATTCTGAGCATCGGAGTATGTGGCGATGGTTGGCGATTGTATGTTTGATGGTAGCTGTGTTTGGCGGTGAGTAGAAGACTTTGAATTACGCACGCATTCTAAAACAAGTAAATAATTAGATTGACAGCTGTGTAAAATATTTTTAAGACGACACGCACGTGCTTAACGTGCGGAAAGGATCCCGTACATAGTAAGACCAGACCGCAACATAATGTGATGTCAAATGTCATGTGGAAATATGACCATTGGTATTTTTGTTTTTCAGCTCAAAATGGCGAAGGAAGAAGTGTTGTTGGAGAAAAACAGACGAACAGCCTGTATGTTAAACGTCAGTTTGAAAATATACACAAACGATCAGTTCTGTCAAACATGTTGAGGATAGATGTTACTAAATATAGCCACGGGGGGAAGGAGCGAAAGACCCACGGACGAATGAAGCGTTACGCTCCGTCGGTGAGCGTCCGAAGCGAGATACCCCCGGAATATATTGTCGTTGTGGTGAGTACATCTTTCAATATTTCAAGATGGTTTTCAAACCCGATTTTGCAGTAGTCACGTGCCTTCCCCAAACTATTAATAATTGATTTTTTCAAAAACAGCAAATAACCTCAGCCATAACAGACTATATACCGTTCGTATATGTTCTGTGGTTACAACCCTCCGTTTATACCAGATGTCAGCGTATGGTGCATACTGAGCGAAGAGGTTAAGTGCAAAGGTGCATGATGGACGTTTTAACAATTGAATTGTTGGGTACTTTGTAACTTAACGGGGTGGTCAGGCTTTCTGACTCATGTCATCACATCCGAATTGTGTAGATTGATGCTCATGCTGTTGATCACTGGATTGTCTGGTCCAGACTCTATTATTTACAGACCACCTCCATGTAGCTGGAATATTGCTTAGTTTGGCAGTAAACAACAAACGGACCAAGCAAACTTTGTAAATAAAAATTATTATCAAAGTAAAGTTGGGGTGGGTTCTGTCAAGAAAATTATACATTACATTTCAAGGTTTTAGAAAGATTGTTCTGACCCAGTTTGTTGACATGTCAATATTATTATTTACATAGAAGTGTTAAACTAAAGACTGTGTCGGTATCAGGGCCATAGGTGTGTTATTGTCAAAGTATCATTAACTCGCTTTTTGTTAAGAGGTGTGAAGAGGTTGACCAATAATATATAACAGAGGTTTTTTTATTGGGTCCCAAAATATTTTGGATCCAGGGATTCAAACCTCTGCCATTCTGATTTGATATCCTGTGTCCAAATGAAGACATGGGTTCAAATTGAACTTCAGCAATCATGCTTGTTGTTAGAGATGATTAATTTCTTAGGGTGGTCAAGCTTGCTGATTTTGTTGATTCAATGTCATTGTGTCTTATTTGTATAGATTGATGGTCATGCTATCATTGGATCATCTGGTGCAGACATACACGTATATGTATACATAGAGTGGTCATATAGCTGTTGTTTCTCCTTTAAACAACAAACATAAAACAAAACAGACCCTTTTCCAATCTTGTTTTATGGTAACTATTACATAAAATACAGTATTGTTGTGTATCTACTAGTAACACTTCTCCAGTACGGTTGTGTATCAACTAGTAACACTTCTCTAGTACTGTTGTATAGAACTGATAACACTTCTCCAGTACTGTTATATATTAACTGATAACATTTCTCCAGTACTGTTAAATATTAACTGATAACATTTCTCCAGTACTGTTGAATATTAACTGATAACATGTCTCCAGTACTGTTGAATATAACTGATAACATGTCTCTGGTACTGTTAAATATAACTGATAACACTTCTCGAGTATTGTATGGTAACTGATAACATGTCTCCAGTGCTGTTGAATGTTAGCTGATAACATGTCTCCAGTACTGTTGAATATTAACTGATAACACTTCTCCAGTACTGTTGAATATTAGCTGATAACATGTCTCAAGTACTATTGAATATAACTGATAACATGTCTCTGGTACTGTTAAATATAACTGATAACACTTCTCCAGTATTGTTGTATGTTAACTGATAACATGTCTCCAGTGCTGTTGAATGTTAGCTGATAACATGTCTCCAGTACTGTTGAATATAACTGATAACATGTTCACCAGTACTGTTGAATATTAACTGATAACACTGTCTCCAGTATTGTTGAATATTAACTGATAACATGTCTCCCATGCTGTTGAATATAACTGATAACATGTCTCTGGTACTGTTGTATATTACTAGTAACTGATAACACTTACCCAGGAGTGTTGAATATTGACTAATAACACGTGTCCAGTGCTGTTGAATATTAGCCGATAACATGTCTCCGATACTGTTGAATATTAACTGATAACACTTCTCCATTACTGTTGTATATTAACTGATAACATGTCTCCAGTGTTTTTGGGGTTATCGTTTTCTTCAATGACAGATCCACGAAGTTTAAGGTGGGATTAACATGGTCGAAAGGTTTTTAACAGGTTTTTTTATTTCCTGATTAGCACAGCTACTGAATGAAATCAAACAATTATAACATAAACAAATTTCCAGTTTTAACATGAAAATTGTAAGAAATTGAGAGATCTCTTGTCAGAATAGTACTTTTTAATGCAAATAATACATAATTATTTTTCCAAGAAACTTTCTGGGTTTATTTTTTTCAATTAATTGTTCGCCAGCAAGCAAAAAACAAAACATCTGAAGTTAATTTTTACCTTTTACAATTTCAGGAGATTTTGTTGGTCGGTCTCATAAACCAATTTAAAAAATATAAAGCCTAACGAGTTGATCGTTAGTCCCAAGGAGCAACATGTTTAAAAAATATATGTTCAGTGATACACGAATCAGAGGGCATGGTAACCACAACTAGTAATCTATCAATGAGTCCCTATAGGTTTCTGTTGTACATAATGGATGATCAACTGTGTATGATCAACTGGGTGTTGTGGAAGTCAATGATCCAGTCCCCAAACTCAAGTTAAGGAAAGGATAATTTCTCATAAAAATGAATCTACTTTTTTAGTTTTATTATGTGGTACAAGCTGCATGTTGAGATTAAAAATTGACATGATTACAAGGAAAATGATTTATACTGATTAGTATATAATGATGATATATATCCCATATGCAGCAACTTAATATCTTATTACTTTTATGCTATACTGTTATTGGGGAGAAAGGGTAGCCTAGTGGTTAATGTGTTTGCTTGTGATGCTGAAGACCCGGGTTTGATTCCCCACATGGGTACATTATGTGAATCCCATTTCTGGTGTCCGATGCCGTGATATTGGTGGAATATTGCTAAAGGAGCTGTAAAACCATACTCACTCACTCACTCACTATATTGTCATCGAAAACGGTAGCCTAGTGGTTAATGTGTTCGCTTGTGATGCTGAAGACCCGGGTTTGATTCCCCACATGGGTACATTATGTGAATCCCATTTCTGGTGTCCAACGCCGTGATATTGGTGGAATGTTGCTAAAAGAGCTGTAAAACCATACTCACTTACTCACTCACTCACTCACTCACTCATTCACTATATTGTTATTGAAATTGTTGTCCGGCTACATAGAGAAATAAACAATTGAAAACGGTGACAATATGTTTTGAAAACATAAATATAACTGTGGAAGACGAAAAAAAAATCACTTTAGTTTCCTAAACAATATATGTGGTGTGTATAAGACTTTTGTTTCCTGTATCCCGTTTGATCATTCTTCCAGTGACGTTTATATGCAGATACGGGGACCATGTGTTATATGATCATCTGTGTGTAAAGGTTTGTAATCACGCTTCATGATCAACAAACCCAATACACTTCTAATTGCACTTCTAAGTCTGTTTTCCATATAATGTAATCACCTTTTTCAGGGTTCCCCTAGGAACGATGAAATAAGCCAGCTTTCGATCTACCACCAGCTCAATGCACTTTGGGGATTATGAATTATTAGCATCATGAAGGGGTTGTCACAAAAGTTAGGATGTATATTTAATAGTCTTGTGACTGTTTTGTGTGTATTTAATGTTCTTGAACTAAAAGATGTTTTTTAAGTAGGAAGATATTTATTAAAAAAATTAACATTTAATTATAATAGGCTTTGAATGCAAATATACATTCTGGATAATGTTTTGTTTATATGTTCATACAGAATGACTATTGAGGGCATCAGTCCTAAATGTATACCATTTCGTCTGTACCATTCTACTTGTAGCATTTGCATAATATTATGGAAACTTGTGACTGAGTGAATGATGGGTCAGATATCAGGGCTCGATTTAGTTCTTTGTTACTTGCACTGGTGCAACCCAATATTACAAAGTGCAACCTAGTTGATAGTCTAACTTGAACCAGGTGCAAGTCAAATTTGAGCGGGTAAAGTTCTGACTAAAACATCTAAAAGATAATTCAATAGCATATTTCTTTCATTACATATTGCAATAAAAGCAGTGCAACTGGAATTTGGCTGGTGCAACTAGGTTTCATCTTAGGTTGCACCTGGTGCAAGTAGGTTAATATCTCTTGAATTGAGCCCTGGATATATACAGTCATAGAATTGTAACAAAATATTGTTCATATCACATGGGTATGATTCCGTGTGGAGTTTTGGTATTGTACATCACCATAACATGACAGATTTAACAAACACTGCATGTTATATTTGGGATTACACTTTCTTAGTAAAGTGAGGTGAAATTGGGTTTAACGTCGTGCTTGAGAATATTTTGCGCATATGACGACGTGCATGCGTGTGTATGTGTATCTGCGGCTGCTTGTACTAGCCCAGACTTAAGCTGGTTTTATAGTGCTAGCCCACTGAGATACCATGCCGCAGTAAAGCATGAATACCCCACTCAGACACATTATACTGACTCCTAGCCGACCAGTACCCATTAATGCCGAGCGCCAGGCAGGGACCAACAAGTACCACATTTCAACCTCTTTTGGTATGCCGCGGTCGGGGATCGAACCCGCGACCTTCCGCTCTCTGGGCGGACGCTCCAACCACTACACAACGGAGGCGGTTCTTAGTCAAGTACAGATTCTAGTACTTTCGTTGGGTTGAGTCCCCTCCGGGATTCGAACCCACACCGTCAGAGTCAGGCACCTGATATCTAAACCCACACAATGACAGTGTCGTGTGTTCGAATCCTGGAGGGGACTCAGCCCAACAAAAGTGCCAGAATCTATACTTTACTTAAGAAAGTGTAATCCCAAATGTAACATATGTTACATTTGACCACTTTCTAAATGGCATTGTGTATTCATTACATGACATTTTATCTATATAACATGGGCCTGACCCTGTGTGGAGCTGTGTTATTGAACATTATCATAGCATGGCATATTGTCTATATAACAAGGGTCTGACCCTGTATGGAGCTGTGTTATTGAACATTATCATAGCATGACATATTGTTTATATAACATGGGTCTGACCCTGTATGGAGCTGTGGTATTGAACATTATCACAGCATGACATATTGTTTTTATAAC